TATACGCAATTTCGGCAAAAAGGGGGGGCGGACACTGTCAGTGCAACGGACTGTATCATTTCGCGACTACAGGGCCACTACTAGCGGCGCGCTTCGGTTTCCTGTGGCTTCCTGTGGCTTCCTGTCGCCCGCTTCATGGCTCTCGGTCCTGGCCCTGGCCTGGAGGCTGGTCGTTGCCGTCTAGTGCAATCTGCCGTAGCCGCAGCATCTTGGGTGCACCTTGTCTGGGCCGTCCAAGACGTCGTTTGCCAACCAACCTGCAGCACACCAATAACTTCCCGTAACAGCCTCTCCTTTCCTGTGGCAGCCAAGGACAAAAGCTGATACGCATAAGATGAGCGCGGCATGTGTGAACCTGATCCAAAGCAACAGTCGCAAGATGGTTCGTCCTCCGACTTTTAGGTGCCACAAGCTTCCCAGAGAACATACGTTGACGCGAGGGAGACGACAAAAACCGCAAAAGTTTGGTCTCCTGCAAAGAACCTTGCTGCGGGACAGGGTTGGCACTTGCCAGCCAGCTGCTAAATCGCGATCCATCTTCATGCGCTTTGCCTTTCCCTGAGTCGACCGCTGTTGGGAGTAAGTCTTGTGACTCTTGTTGGTTGTGGTTGTCTTCCAGCAAAGCGCTGCCCCTTTTGCGTTGCAGAGATTTGATGAAAACCTCATTACGCTTCTGCAACTGCTGCAGGCGCGTTCTGTCGTCTGTTGGTTGGAGCGGCACAGCTCAGTCTTGTCGGCGCTACGGAAACATCCTAACCGGATGATTAAGCTGTCTGCTTCTGTCAATGATTTGCGTTGCGTACATTGATTTCCCTCAACCTCAGGGAGGACGTGTGCACCCCATAGCCAGTGCATCTTCCTCGTAGTCGGCGGAATGTCCCTCACATGCAAGCGACTGCTACGATACCCTCCGATCAGAGCTCCGAACCGATTGGACGGCGGTAGCAAAGGAGACATGATGTGCAGTAATATCTCCGAGCTGACAAACATTGCGGCGAACAAACAATGCTCATGCTAAGTCTCGATTAAATCGTGGACCTCTGAAAGGCCAAGGTCGATAGAGCTGAGATATGATTCTCTAGGTGTGCGAATCGCACGTAGAGCTGCCTTATGGATTGAGATTGATTCCAAGGCACCAAATTTACGATATCGGAGTGGTAGAGTCAAGCCCAGACGCACCTCTTCCATCACACCAGATCAACTTCCCATCCTGGTGAAGCTTCTCGGGACAGATCTTGGAGCTTGGTCCACCGGTTCGGAGGATCCACACAAGCTCTTTTCAAAAGGACGGGGTCCCTTGTGGAAGGAAAGCATCGGGATTGAAGTCGGGAAAGCATGCGCCGACCCGGCTTGTGGCTGGAACGTATATCACTTAACATGCATCAAGCCACATGTGGCAGTGGTACGACGCGGCACAAGCCTCACCTTCTCCCGAGCATGAGGCAAAGCTAGGACAGCTACTCAATCGCACCTTCCAATTGTTGCGCGTGTCGATGCTTCCTGCCTGAGTGCGCAACTTCCGTTCACGTATTCTCTGGATATTCCAGAAATTTCTGCCTGAAAAAAAACCGACGCAATGCCTCCCGGTAAGCTACCATCCTCCCCACACCACCATTCGCGCATCATCACCAAGGCGCGTCTGCTTTGCGACAGTCACCCGCCCGACGCGATCATTGTCCCAATTACCCCCCATCGCCCAAGATGACGCGCAGAAAGTCCCGAGGCAGAAAGAATAAGGCACTGACCCGCGCCGCAGCCATCAGCGACGACGAGCAGTCCGACATTGGCGGCGACATCATCGTCCCCGTCAAGGAGACCCGCGGAAAGAGCCGATCGGTCGACATTGCGGATGACGTTAGTGACACTAAGAGCGACCTTGACATCCCCAAGGTTACCGGCGATCTGAATGGCAGTGCTGCCGCCGCCAACGGAGACGATGACGAAGACGAGGACGAGGACGATGATGACCTCGAGGCCGACGAGTGCGTGTCGCGCGACAGATAATACCGGGGGACGCTGGCGCTAATGATGCCATAGATATGTCGTTGAGAAGATTCTAGACCACCAGGTCGGCGACGATGTATGCACCCCTCTGCCCGCTGATTGCGGCCCCAAGCTGACTTGTGTTTAGGGACTGGTCAACTTCAGAGTAAAGTGGGAGGGCTACGAGAAGAAGGCGGATCAGACCTGGGAGCCAGAGGACTCGCTGAAGTACGTTACGTGCCGAGCGTATGCTGCGGTCGATGCTTGTAGTTCTGATACTAACATACTTACAGGGAGGGCGCAGCCGAGATTCTGGAAGAGTACCTTAGAGCGATTGGTGGCCGCGAGGCACTGTTCGAGCAGAAGACCAAGGCCAAGACCACCAAGAAGCGCGGCCGCCCTGCTGCTTCATCCACGCCACCAGCGACCACCAAGAAGTCCAGACGCAACGGCCACCCGGCCGACTCGACCCCTCCCGCATCCGCAGTCGCCGCCGCGAAGGCCAAGCCGTGGACCTTGCCCAGCGGCAGCTGGGAAGAGGATGTTGAGAGCATCGATGCATGCCAGGATGAGGTTTCGGGGGCGCTGGTCATCTACTTGAACTGGAAGAACGGCCAAAAGACGAAGCACCCCACCGAGGTGGTGTACAAGCGATGCCCGCAGAAGGTGAGTTCTCCTATTGTTTATTCAAGAGGGCAAACATTAATTGTGCCACAGATGCTCCGCTTCTATGAGAAACACATCCGAATCGTCAAGTCAGAACCCGAGGCGGACGCTGATAACCATTTCCCCGAGAAGACTGCGCCAGAGGCTGAGATGTGAAACAATAAAAGGACGACATGTTGAGTTGTTTTACGTGGGAACGGCGTTCGGGCTGATGGCATCCTTATCAGGAGGCTTTCATGGATTTCGGAATTGCTCTTTTCGATCAGTCTTGCGCATGGGTTTCTCAAAGGAATCCGCGTCAGACCCAACCTGTAAATAGGAACTGCGGTTTGCGGGAGACGTGTGCCCTGGGTCTTGAAGCGGGGCAGCGCGAGACGATGTGCGATAGGGATAGTGCCAGGGAAAATTTGATGCTTCACCTTGACCCGGTTGGCCTTGTTGGTGTAATGTCTGAATGTGGTGTAGCCTCCATCGTCACGTCTACACGAGCTAGCTCAAGGTCTTCAGGTCAAACCAGGAACGAGGCGCACTAGTTCGCAGACAAGACAGGTCTTGACTTCCAGGACTCACCCAATGCGCCGCCGCCAATGGCCCCACGTCAGCCGTGACTGTCGGTCTCAAGTTCATAAAGGGGAAGAGAGGATACAGGGCTGTCCAAAGCGGATGTCGCCGTCAGACGCAGGAACCAGGACAGGAACCAGACCGCAAAGGTAGACCGCCACCAAAGGATTGCGGTGAGTGTACAAGTGCCCAGCCCGGGACGACGGGGGAAAACCTGCAGGATGCGGCACCCGCGAGGTTGGGTGCGTTGAAATCCCTGCCCGGGCGACCCACTAAAAGCAGCTTTAGACCCCTGTTTCGCGGGCGGTTGGGGTCGTGGTGTGTGTGGTGCTGGCGTTGCGTGGTCGCGGGTTTTCCAGCCTCTCCCATTTTATTGACTTCTCTGGGAAACCTGGTGGCGGGGCAACGCTGCCTTTTAACGCTGCGCTGCCCGACTGCATTCCACACGGGGTTTCCTGGATTTGCTTTCTCTCTTCCTTTTGGTATGCTGCACGATCTCGCAAAACCCAGGACTCGAACATAAGTTTTTTTGCCCGGCCCATTGAGATCAGACAACTGTCGTTGTTCTTCGGTCAACCCGCACCCCACGCCGTCCACCATCGGGGCCCATACTACGGAAGCCGCAAAAGTATCTTGTACACCGCGGGGAGCTAGCTAGACAGCTGCAGGCCATCAACCATTGGGTACGACCTCTTCCAGGATTTTTTTTCCCTCGAGACAATTGACTAATTTTAACTGCAGACATCTGCCCAAAAAAAAAAAACGACTTTTCTCAACGGCTTACGTTCTGAACTCAGCACGTCTCCCGAGACACACAGACACATCACGCATTCCACGGCCCACGGCGACTCCGCTTCATCGGACCCGTCCGTCTTTTCTCCACCACCCCGATCAAACTCTCCTCCTCCGCAGGTGTCTCCGTCACCTTCGGGCTCGACGGAAAACCCTGAACCCCGGCCGCCGCAGCCATGGTCAAGCAAAACGACGTCATCGCGATCATCGTCATCGTGCTCTTCATCGTCCTCGCCGGTGTCGCGTTCGGCATCTACAGATTAGTCCACGTCGCCCGCCAGAGCATGAGTGTGACGTCTGGGTCGAGTAGCAGCAGCAGTGACGAGATTGTCGACGACTGATCTCGGCGGGTTGGTCGACTGCGTTGTGTTGCTGCTGCTACTTCACTGCGACGTCACGGCCACATGACCCAACGTACTTCGCGAGCCCATCTGGCTCGCTACTTTCACGTTGGGCACATGCATGATCTGATGGCAGTCAAGAAAACAAAAATGATTTGGGATGAAAGATAATGAGGGTGAAAGGGAGGGCACGAGACATGAAGTTTTACCGGCATTGGGCGTTTGATTTTCAGCATTTTCCAAATATCTGTTTTAGTTATTTATTACATGGGACGGCAAGATATCTACGAGTGTATGCTATACAAAGAAGCTAGGATTGGGACCTGAACGGGCTCGTTGCGGAGGATGAACGAATCTACGGAGACACGAGAGCCCCATGTACATAGAATGAATCACGCCCTCGAAGGCGGATCAAGAGTTATTAGAATACTCTGAAATATTTTTACAGTTAAACTGTTCAGGAACATATTGATGCGTGCAGGTGAATCAGTGGCAGGCAGTAGCTGTTCAGTCCGCAGGCATGTGTCACTCCGTCAGTAATTCCTTGCGGTTTGCTGTATAAGATACCTTCTGGTGATGGTTGTCTCTCCAATCAAGTTCACATTACTGCACCCAGAAAGCTCTAGAATGTCGCCAACCAAAGACTCAAGCCCGACCATGTTCGAGGCGGTCAACCACAACACCGCCAAGGCTCTCGACATCGTCGACGAACTCTGCAAAGAAGTCGACCACCTCGAGCGCACCTCACGCACGAGGGAGAAGCTGGAGCCTCTAAAGTACCACTCCGGCCTCCAGGCCGTCCTCCTGCTCCTGCACTACGAGCTCCACGAGAAGCTCCGCGCCCGCACCGACGCCCTCCACACGCTGGCCAAGGCCCAGAAGGCGCTCGACGTGATGATCTGCGACATTGACGCAAACACCTTCGCCACACTCATGCTCGGAGACTTCCCTGGCGCGGACCTGCACGAGGAGGGGCAGCGCGAGGCCGCGCTCTGGGCGAAGCAGAGCCGCGACATTGATGCCCGGATGGTACGAATGAAGAGGGAGAATGAGGACCTCCGGCGCAAGATTAGTCGCGTCGCGGCTGTCATTGGAGACCCTCGTGTCATTGACGAGGCGTTGGTGATTGATGGCGTTAGGTGCTGTCTTCTCGGTCGGAAGCCAGGGGCCACCAAGGAGGAGAACCAGAAGGGGTACGACGGGCCCAAGGCGACGTCTCTGGAAGAGGTGAAGAGAGCTCTGGACGAGGCGAATGAGCAGTTTTTGGAGCGCCAGGATGCCTACGAGAAGTCGCGGGACAGCGGCGAGAAAGAAGATGAGGTGACTGGAAATGCTGACCAGGTCCCTGCCCATGAACTTGATGGCCGCGCTGTTGAGGCGGAGAGCGGGTGTTTCCATGACATTGAGGGCTGCCGTGAATGCGATAGGCCTGGACTCTGAGTTGATTTCCACGTCGTTAAGGAGTTAAAGCTGGTTAGTTAGTCCAACTGAGTATAAGTCATTCATCACCACGGTCGAGCCTGTTTTGAAGCACACGTCAAGCCTCTCACATACAGTGGCAAGCCTCTGTGATCAGTCTGACTTCTGTAACAAAACAAATTGACTCGTGTGTTTAAAGTCGCCTCAACGACAAGTTTACAGCTCAATACCAAAAAAAGTAGAAAATGGACAAAAGAAGAAAAAACAATGGGCGGCCACCGGAGATATGTAGAGCCACCTAAAGAACTCGAACCACCGAGCTTTGCCGAAACCAGGCATACAATCCACCACTATGCTATCTTGCGACGATGGTCGCACCCATTGTTGCGGAATCTGGAAGGTGAGTAGGTCATAAGGGAAACAACGCGCCAGTGGCAGGTGCGGTGGACTCACTTGCTTCTGTAACAGGAACGGCTGCCCTCCCAGAACAATGTTTTCACACGTAACCGAGCTCGATTACTGTGATCTCCGAATTTAAGATTATCTGAAGGTAATCAATTTGGAAACAGAGATCAAGCCGAAGACAATTTCAACATCGCGACCAATATCACCCACTTACACCAGAGCTTCGCATCCTCGTCAGTCTCTACAGTCCAGATTTCAACACCGAGGCTCACATAGTTTGCAAATATGATCCTGATAATTCGACCGCTGGTTTCAAACGGTACTAAGATGAAATTGTGATGCCATTTACATCGCTAACAGACTGTCAGAACTGTATTCTTCACGTCGAGGTGTAGTTGAAGTGCGAGGAACGATACGTACCGGACACACCCCGGGCCATGCAAGGGCCATCCCCGCTGTTTAAAGTGCATCAATTCCGACCCCACCAACGCGCCACGGCACGTCGCGTCTCCTTCATCCGCCAAAAATTCCAGCCAGCATCTAGATTGTCTCGACGTCAGTTTTGCAGGCACTCTTCCCCGGCCATCTGCGACACCATCTACACCTCACATACCCCGCTCAATCGCTACCGTCCAGACCCAGGTGTTATCACTATGCCGGTCCTCGAACGCCGCAGGCCGGCCCAGCGCCGCCCCGAACGACAGGTCGTAGACGACGACGACGGTGTCGACCTCCCGCCCTACAAGCCCCTCGCGTGCCCCCTCACAGACCAAGCCAAGCGGGCCATCTCGGAGCTCTCCAACAGCCGCGACGTCCACCGCTACGCCTCCCACATCAAGCAGTCCATCTCGAACCTCAGCCAGAGCGTCGCCGAGGTCAACGACGCCACCCGCGACCGCCACGAGCAGCTCCGGCGCATCGCCGCGAAGCGCGCCGAGTCGGACAGCAGCCAGGAAAAGTCGCAGCGCGAGGAGCAGGTCGAGGCGCACGCCGCCGCCCTGGATGCCGAGGTCCCGGGCCTCACGAGGGACGTCGAGGCCGCCCTGCGCGACCTGCTCGACAGGCAGGCAGAGGTCGAGGACGACAAGAAGGCGCTGGCGGAGACGGCGGACTACTTCCAGACTCTCCCTGCCGCGCCGGCGAGGGCCCGGCGGAGACGGCAGCAGAATGGCGACGAGGACGGGGAGGGAGACACTCAGATGGAGGAGGACGAGGCGCCGCCCGAGCAATCCGTCATCGACACACTGCGTCAGCACAGGGCCGACAAGGCGCGGGAGTACCAGAACCTCAACGTCTACCAGCGCTACGCCCTCAACAACGACTACGCCGGCTTCAAGAAGCTGCTGCACGACGCCGTCCACGGCGACTCGGGCCCCACGCTGCCCAATGCCAAGCGGTGGTTCGACGACGAGGGGAATCCCGTGATGCCTCGCATGGCCAGTGCTGCTCAAAATGTTAAGGACGAAGGGGGCGCAGCGGACGACGACGACGAGGACGAGGACCTGGTTATTGCCGGCGAGATTCGAGATTACAGGTGTCCGTTATCGATGCAGGAGTTGAAGGAGCCCTTTAGCAACCGCGTCTGCAACCACACGTACGAGAAGCAGTGGATCACGGAGATGTTGAACAAGGCACCAAACAGACGCGCGCAGTGTGTCGTGGCCGGCTGTTCCAAGGTACGTCTGATGAGAGTGGCACGGGCGAGACTGAGAAAATCCACTGACATGAGCAGGAATTCGGTGTGGATGACTTTTACGACGACAACGTGATCCTGCGCAAGATGAAGCGCGCCCAGGAGTTGCAGCGGCTTGAAGAGGAGGAAGGCAGCAGCAGTCCAGACGAGGACGCCGACGAAGACGCCCCTCGCCAGGTCAAACGAGAAAGGAGAAAGCGCAAGGTCGAGGCGATAGACGATGACGACGAGTGAGCGCGGGGAGCAAAAGCTTTGGCGGTGTGTTTTACAGTATTTCACGATCGAATCACTGATAGGGGCGTTTCGGAATGGGCACGGCACGATACCCATGGTCAATGACATGAGCTTTCGACGAGGCATGGTCGATGTGCGACTGAAAAAAACATGATTCCCGCTTTATGATATTATGCGACTCCAGATCTACTAAGGCTGCCCTCGTCTCGTGTGAAGGGCGCCCACGATTACGTCTTCACCGTCCCCTCCCGCGACCGTTGATGTCTTTTTAAGCCCCTGTTGCCGCAACGTCACACGTCGCCAAAGCCACACCCGCGCCCAGCAACGAACTCTCCTTTGCTGGGACGAGGTCGATACTCCTGTCGTCCCTGTTGACAAGTCCGTTCACGTACTCCTGCAGCATCGCCAGGTACCCCGGATAATGCTCAATCACGCTGCCGGTGTACGCCACCGTGGTCTTCTCCAGACCACACTCCTTCTCTAACCGTTCTGAGCCGGCATACTCCACGTCTTCCTCATCCAGCGCCTCCAGGCGCAGTGCCCAGACCGCGTGCAAGCATGCAGCGATGATTGCCGCCGACCTCCTCGACACGAAAGACGCCAAGTCGCGGAGGGCCGCCATGTCAGATGACGTCGGGGTGTGCGATGACGGGTGACGCGAGATGAAAACTTCGATGGATGATGCGAATAGTGGCGACGTATCTCTGTGGCGCATGTTAGCAGACGTTACACGACATGAAACGGGGCGAGCGTTACCCTTCAACGGCTGATATCGTCTCCGATTTCAAGGAGTACGGCTCATCGAGCGACTTGGGCACCACGCCGCCAAAAACCCCAGTGGTGTTAATGGCCTCAATCAATGCAAACCTCACCATCTCACCCAAGTACATTCCGCTCACCATCTGCTCTAGAGGCTGGAAGTCTGGCCTCGGATGTCCCTGCTTTAATGATCTATCCCAGCGCGTGACGCTCAAAATATCCTGTCCAAACATGCCGAGCTCGGTGTTGACAATCACATCACGGGCCTCGTCCCACCACTCCTGCGGCCGCTCGCCGAATTTTGGTTTTCCGATTACGGAGACGGGAAGATGTGCGGCGATGTTGACTCCGGTGCCGAGGATGAGGCCGAAGCGGGTGGCGGAGTGGATGTAGGCTTGCGAGAGTAGGGTGGCGCCGCCGTCGTTGACAATCGCCTGGAGGACGGCGTTCATGCCCTTGACTTTACACGCGGTCTCGATGACTTCGCCGAGATCCTGGCCCATGAGTCCGTCGGCGGCGAGGAACCCTTTACCCATCCCGTGAATACGGCCGCCTTTCAGCGACGTTTGTCTGCACCTGATTAGCTTGATATCATACGTCCGATGCGACGTGCTTACTCAATGGGAAAGCTCCAAGACACGGCCATGGGCATGGGTCGTGACGGGTCCTCTCCGTCTTTACAAATGGTTTCCAGTATCCTTTCCGCCATCCAGTCGAAGAATGCCATGCCCTCCAGGTTCCTGATGTCGGCATCGATCACGAAGGAACTGAGGCGGACGATCTCGCTCTCGCGACCCTTGGCACCGCGGCCCCGCAATTCTACCAGTGCAACACGCAGGGTCGATCCCCCCACATCCAGCGCCAGATACTGACCGACTTCGTACCCGGCGGGAAGTTGGTGGTTGTACGACGGCAACATACATGCCATGCTGGTCTGCAACTTGTCCCGAAACTGCGCCTTCAGGGCGTTGGACAGCTCCAGGAGGCCATCGCCGGCGAGAGGGCCCAGCAGCAGGTCCTCGGCCTCCTTCAGGAACTCGTCGATCCTCCGCGGGTAGAGAGACGCGGCGGACTTGGAGCACTCGACTGTTGACGACGTCCTGGAATGCTTCCCGGAAACGGTCTGAGGGGTGATCCAGAATGCGAGGATGGCTTGTATTAGGGACTTGCCCCGCAGCAGCTGCTTGACGACGGCAGCCAGGAATGATTTCGGGAACGTCATGGCAGGAGAGATTCGGTGCATGACAAGGACCCAAGATTCGAACGAAGGAGATTTGGTGTCGGACGGTGCCGTATCATTTAGCTGACGAGACAATGGCAGGTAAATAAACGGAGCAAGGCACGAGCCATGTCCCCGGAGAGGTGACGGGAGCAAGATGAGTGAGACGGAGGAATGGAGGAAGAGGGAGGGTCGCAGAGATGTCGCAAACGAGGTTTAAACAGCACTCCACGGCGGCCACCAGACGGTGTCGAGAGCGGATCGACAGGAACAGGCCGGGGAACAAGGGTGACTGGAGCTCGCACCGAGCAGGATGGAACCTGCCGGGAGCTGGCCTTCGTCCGTCGAGCTGGCCGGTTGGATGTCGTATTGGAGCGCGTCGGCGGTGGACTGGACAAGCACAAGAGAGCGGCGATGGCGAAAGCGATCAACGGCCAATGTGGTTACAGGAGGTGAGAGATGGCCGCTAGGGTACGGAGAGAAGGGCCTCGGGGGCACCAGACCATGCGGAGGTCCACGGTGAGAGTGAGACTCTGAGCGGGAACCACCAGCCAAGGAGGGCCTCTCGCGTTTCCTCTCCAACGTCGCACAGGCAATGGGGCGACTGACGGCAGTCCTAGGGCATGTTCGTATGGCCTAGTTCGGCCCAGACGCGATAATCCAGTCCACCTGCCTTGGGGGCCGTATGCCGTTCGTCGACGGGGTTGGATG